TGCGAATGAGTGTGAGCGCACGTGGGCTTGTGTTTGGAGTGTATTCGAGTCTTTGGTGATGTGTGTCTCCACTGCTTGGTGTCTGTGGATTGCTATACTTTGTAATCTGGACCTGTGTGGTGTGAGTGGTATTTAAAGCTCCTTGTGGAGGGCTAAGCAGTGATACTACTGCAAACACCCTGTTCCAGGGGCGACCTCCTGTCTAATTGGATATTCTACTCAATTTGACTTCCATTCTGCTCAGTTCTGACCTTAGATTGTCACTGTTTGACTTAACTTGTTGTTCTGGATTTGGATTCCAGTTGATTACAGTTTTGCTGCTCGCTGTGGTCTTCTGTGTTACATTTGGTGAAGTATCACCTTGTTTTGTATTACTGTGTGCGTTTCAAGTGGTTTCTTCCATACCTTGTTATTGTTATCATCATCTTATTTTCTCTTCCCTTTATTCCCTGGTGTTCAATAAACCCTCTTCTATGTTTCACTCTCAACCTTGTCCGCATCAAATATACTAGCAAAATTCAGACTAGGTGTCCAGCCAGCTGTGTTGTGGAGTTTCCATTGCTGGTCAGCCTGATTTTAACCAACAATCTTGCTCCACCCTTGATTCACCTTTGCAGGGTTAAGTCTCCCAAATTTGGTCCTTGCAATACTAGGAGTAAGAAATTTACTCTATTGCTAGTATTCAGGAAACTGTACCAAGGCCACCATCAACCCTGCTTTAATTATGGTTTATTTTATTCCCTATTACTTGTAATTATCCAGCTTTTAAAAGTTTCAACATGTTGATCTTGTCTGTTGATATTTTATCTCTTTTCCAATACAGCTTCAAATTAATAAATGAATGTTCTTCATTTTCTTGTTTGCCCCTTGGTTTCATCAATGCTGTCACTAGCTCTGGGAGCAGAGCTAGTTAAGCTCAGTTCCTTTTCAAAAAACTTACAAATACAGTCCTACATTTCACTCTGCTGGGTGTGTGTTGTGCTGTGTGTGTATGTACAACTTGTTGGTGATGGAGTAAAAATCTATTTTGGATGTCAGCAGTACTTGCATCCACTTACTGAGGGTAGCATCTGGCCCACTGGACCAGACAGCCAACTCTCATTGGGTGTAAAACTATACTGGTAAGGCCAAAAATACATGAAAAAAAAAATGGAAGCGGTGTTTGGTCCCCCCAGTCTGTAGTGATATAAGCTATAACTTACTGATGCTCCCTAACAGGAGATGACAGAAGTTGTAAATTATAAAATGGTCCCTTACATAGTTAGGTCATGGAGACTAAAGGCCTGAAGAAGCCTGTTTACTGCTCCACAAGTAAACCTTGCTTTTCAGTTCTTTTTGTTCACTTATGCCTGTGCTTATTGAGACCAGTGATCCCTACATTCAGGGAAAAAAATCTGACCCACTATTTAACCTTCGCCTTTAACTTTTTCACATTTCTGCCTCTGCAGCCTCTTTACCCACAAAAGGGAAAATATAATTAATAGATTTCATAGATGTTTAGGGTCTGAAAGGACCTTGGTAGTCACCAAGTCTGACCCCATGCCCTGGGCAGGAAAGAGCGCTGGGGTCAGGTGAATTATTCAGTGGGACAAACTCAGTGTCTTTAAATGGGCTGAGGTCCACAGACTTCAACAGGCCTCTCCTGATTTCAGCAGCTAAAGATCTGGCCCCTCGTTTCTTACTTGTGTAATGGCATCTTCATTCATCCCAGTAAGAGAAGAGCTGTATGCCTGGTGTCTAGTACTCTGACTTTTAGTTTGCAGGTTTGTTGTTATGTCTGTACAAATCTTCACTGCTTTTGCTCTGGAGTCATCCTTCAGCCCCAGAAAAAGCAATGCACATCAAGAAAAGAGGCCTGGGGTTCAATATTGCACTCTGTTGCACAGAAATAATGTTTGTTGACTTCAGTGGAAATTGCATACAAGGAACAAATTTTTTCCCAGGGTTTGGATAGCCCATAGTAAAGGGGAAAATACATTGGCTTTAGATTGATTACAGTACATAGTATTGTATTCACTCATATGTATTTGCAAATGAAAAGGGTCACCCCTTACCCAGCCCATTGCTGTCTGAGGTGAAGCACTCCAAGGGGATGGGGAGTCTATGTGCCTGGGTGGATAGCTGGTAACTACTATTCTTCCTGGCAGTTATTTGTGTTCCTTCTACTTTCCAGTGTGATTGCAACTTGTTACACCCAATACTCTGACTTTTCCTTGACTCTACACGTGCTTCAGAGATAAGTCTTGTGTTCTCTTATGTATTTTTTTAACTTGCTGTTTGGTGTGGCATCCTGCTGAGTGGGATGTTTTGCCTACTGTTTTGATGTCTTGTTGCAATATTTGTAGTAAGTATGTGCAGCTCCTGTAAGAATTACTGTTTCTCCTAAATCCTTTAGCAATTTATCAATCCTTTAGCTTATCAATAAGTTAACCAGGTACTAGTGAAACCTTCTATTGACTTTTTATAGAAATATGTTGTTTTGTACTGTCAACTATAACTTTTCCCTTTAGTATAGATTTTAACAAATGCGATAGTCTGAAACACCAACTTAAGTCAATGGGGTTTGTGGGGGATCAACACTCCTGAAATCAGACCATGGCCCTAGGGCACAATAAAAGAAAAAAGAAAATACTTGAGGAGTATAACTATTTCACCCTGCACTGTTTACAAGTGCATGCTAGTAGGGTTAAATAGACTTTCATGCAAATACTGCAGATAGAATAAACCTGCATAAAAACTACATTTCTAATGTAGTCTACTAAATTACGACAAATTTAAGGAATAACGGGATAAACTTAAAGAGCCTGTTTTCCAAGACAGCATAATTTTAGCTATATGTTACTATGTTAAGATGTGCTTTTTTATCCAAATACACTAATCCAGTGCAATCACTTATGCATTGTTATTAACTGCTTTAATCTACAATTGTCATATTTAGAGAATATTTTTTTCCAAGAACATTCTGAACAAAATATGAGACAACCAATTTTTTCTACCACCCGACAACCATATAGGAAAATGTTCTTATGCTATCTCTAAGAACAGGCCGAGTCACTTAGTAATTCAACAATTGTCATCCATGTCACTTTCAAAGTAATTGAAATCCCTTCTGATTGATGTTCAAGGAATCTTCAAGCTTCCTTATCAGTATAAATATTTCCTGGCCAGCCTTCTTATCCTATCCAACTGGGTCCACAACAGTTTCTTGTGATCCCTTTTACCATTAGTTCATTTCATTTCACTTCATTTCACTTCAATTCAAATTCTATCTTTTCTAGGAACCAACCTGTGAGCATACTTTCCTTCTTCATGGTCCTGCTGCACCTATCTTTTTCTCACAGATACATTTGCTCCTTGTTGTTAATGCTTTTTTCTCATATAAACTACAATATTACATGCTGTATTTTATTGTTTTCATTAATTCCTTGATTTAAACAACTCTTGAATACATCTTATGATTTAAATGTGTGCATATTGATTCCAATGACGTCAGTGGCGATTACAGGCATGAACTGAGGGCATGATGTAGCTCTAAGTCTCAGTTACTCACTACTTACTTATGATTTATGCTTAAGAAATGCATGAATATTCAATGACTTGCTACTCATAGATATTCTTCCCCCACCAAGCCTAACCATAGCATGCTAGCTACCAGAGACTGACAAATGTTTTACATCAATCATAGAGCTGCAGTTTTTTATTTGCATCTCCAGAGATAAATATAACTGTGGCAGACTCTCCATGTTTGGTTGATGTCCTAAATCAAAGATGTGTGCTATAAATGCATCCTAGTGTTAAGGTCCTTCCAGACACTCCTGGGTACCTTCTAATACAACAGAACCATGTGAGGATCTGGTGTCAAAGCATTTATACTTACACCTCTATTTTGACCTTTCCATAACAATCTTTAAAACAAATCTAATTAATTACAGATCTCAGATAAAAATAATGTTTGTGATTATCTACATAAGAGATAAGCACCCTTTAATCTTACTTGGTTTACCAGGGAATAGTAGCACCTGAAAAGTAAGTAATATTTAGTCACCATCAACATAAAAAAAGTAAAATCCTTGAGCCATTTATTTAGTGCTTCAGATCTTCTTTCTTTTATGTCATGAAAGATAAATTCATACAGGGACACTGACAACATCATAGCTTTCAAAGTGCATCACACCTGTCACCACATAAATAGTCCAGTGACTTACTCTAATCCATCTTCCTCTGACCATTACTCATGTCAAAACAGCAAGTTCAAGGAGTACTTTCTTCACTAAAAGCAGAAGTCTTGGTTTACATTTACCAAGAGGAGATTATGCTGTGAGGAAGGTATCAGTTTTGACTGATATACTGTCAGTTAGTAAACAGGTCTGTTCTGAAACTCTTGGCACTGCTAATCAGGTATTTCACATACTTCTCTTCATATGGCTAGCATAGAAATAAGTTAATATCTTTTACCCTAAAAATAAGAAAGATACTTTCAAAAGGTTCTAGGCCTAGTTTACTTACATTCCACTTAAATAACTTAATGCAGCATCAGGCAATTTAAAACACTTGATCCCAAGCCTGGTGAAATTAAACCATATCATTCCTTAGTTTGCATATTTCCTCATATTACCTTTCTATCTCTTTCATTACATTCCATAAATTATTAAAACCATACTGACTCCATTGCATTAAGTTCTAAGTTTTAGAAACACAGCTAACTAGTCTGCAAAGCCATCAAATTATTTTTATTTCTATTTTTTAATCTACTACATAGAAAACCAACTGTACTTGTAAATACCCTCTCTCTCAGAGTTACAGCTTCTAGCACAACTAGCAGCACCAGAAATTGTCCCTGAATTATTCAGAGTAGCCTCTAAACAATAAAGTGGTACACATTGAACCACTCAGTTGTCTGAAAAATGACAGCTTTATCCAGAAAAAGCACCTATGAGTTTATTATTATTATTATTACTACTTGTATTAGTGTTAGGACTGATAATCTTCACCGTACTCACATGGTACTGTGCGGAGGTAGAGATTGTCTCGTATGATCTGCTGGAGTTCGTGGTCTACTGAGCCTTTCTGAAACCGTAAGTTGAGGTAGTGACGAAGGTCCTTATCAACAATGCCTCCTGTAAAAGTAACAACAGATCCACTGAATAAAAGACAATGGAAAACCAGTCAGATTTTCAAGAAATGTTCCCTTGCTTATCACAGAATCAATTAGTCACTTGCAGGCTCTGCCACTTGACAGATCACTTTCTTCGATGCTTCTGCCATAAGAAGTGATTTTAAGTAGAGAAACATACAGTTAACTGCTGATTACCAACTATTTTTAAGGATGAACATGATTAATGGAAACTATCTGGTTAAATCTATAGAGTACAGGGAAAAAAAAACCCTGCATGAAAAAAAGCATCATGGACATATGTCAAGCATTTCTCTGCACATAGAGATAATGTGAATTATACTCTGTATAACTGTACAAGCATTGCTTGCTCGCTTATCAAGATATAACGTTTTTCTTCCAAACATACATGTATGGAATGTGAAAAGCTTTCATTCCAAATGCAGTCAGTATGAAATGTAAAACAAATAGTCTCAAATATATGTAATGCTAATACCAATACATAATGAATAACCAATAATGTTTTCTTAAAATTATCCTTATATCTGGAAAATATATAGTAGCAATCAGAGTATGCTCATTTCATTTCCTCCCATTGAAAGCAATCAATAGTAGTACTATAGCATCTCAAAATAAAATTACAAACTTTAATGTACAAGGAGGAATTCAGGTTGAAATCAGTCTCTTCTAGTTTTACTATTACTTTAAACCAAAACAGCCTAGCTTACCTTATCAGCCCACATACTGAAGTGATGCTCAGCTAGTGACTATGTGCATCATATTCCTTTATTAAGAGAGCTACATAACTCAAATATACTCTGATTAATAAACCATGTCTAGAAATACTTTTCTTCTGTCTCTGTGAAATTAGACAATGGTTTGCAACTATAGGCAAAAGTCTATGAATAGGTACATTTCTCCAGAATTCTACTTGAAACAGGAAAAATATAGAAAATTATTACCATACTGCACTGTGGCATATACTTGGAAGATGTAGCATCAGATTGATTTCTAACTCATTTATACTTATCCCCAAATCTTGCAAAAAAGGTATTTGTATTTAACCACCTAATTTTTGACTCTGAATTCAGAAAGATTTTCTTGCTGACATGAATAAATATCCTCCACCAGCCTACTTACAGCCATTACACTGAAAGTCGCTGTAAACATCAAATAGTTATAAAACAGTACAGTACAAGCATAAAGCAACCGATTGTTTATACTTATAACAGGTCAATAGTCTTTCTACGCTTGTATTTTTCACCAACTTCAAAACCTTGTTGTTCAAATCCCACAATACAGAATGGAGGTAGACAATGGTCTTTCAGTAAGTGTATAAAATTTGAGTGTTTGTGCCCAAAAGCTTGCAAAGAACAATTTTTCCAACTATTTAGTAGGTCAGATAAAAGATATCACATCTACCCAAAGAACCTCGTCTACTTAAAACTTGTAAATAAGTTCTGTCAGGTCTAGTCAAAGGCAGAGAGCAACGGTCTTCCGTAAGAACTATTGTCACAAGAGACAAAAAGTACCTGTGTGCCAGTTTCTCAGCTGCTCCGAACGTGCATACAGTAGGCGTGCTGCTCTACAGGTATCCAAGCTGGGCTACTTTACTGCAGTCCTTTGGCACCACTGAACCCTCTTTATAGTCACAGGCTTTGTGTGTACAACCAGACCATCCCTACTCCTGCTAATTTATTATGAGATTACAGAGAAATAAAAACTGTAGAGAAACTGCAGAGAAACACAATCTGCTACTGATTGGAACTAGCCGTCCTTTTTGATTGGGTATAAAGAGTAGAGGTCTTGTTCTCCTTGCTTTGTCAAATAAGCAGAACATGTCTAGTGATGCAGATGCTTTCTGGCAGCCTGAGAAAATGCCAGCTATAGAACAACACCTGTAGTCTGCCTACTGACATAAAGTAGGATCAGTCACCTTATGGAAACACACTGACATGAGGAAATTTAGTAGTCAACATGAAGCCTTGACCTTAGAAATGCAGTTGGGTTTTTTTTTTTTTTAATTTATACCCATCTTCTCCAAAACACAATTATTTATCTTGTTAAACAAATGCACTACATCTCCTTGAATGCTGGAGAAAGAGATTCACCTGATACAGAACTTTTTTTTCAAGATGATACGGTACTTTTTCCAAAAGGGAAAGTTTTAAAGACAGTGCAGACATGCACAGAGTATATGCCTTCCTATCCACAGATGCTATATCTGAAATCAGCCTCAGCTACGAAATTCGTGCTCAGTAGAATTATTACCAACCGACAAGCACAAGTGCAACACATTGTCAACAACCCATGATTACAAAATGTAACATGACAATTTTGTGTTTTAAAATCGGAACCAAAGACCATTCAAATGAACTACAAGCAGAGTTGGTATGTTTCAGCTTTCTACCACCAAATCATTGTTCTCAGGTTTAACTGAAATTTTTCATTGTTTGCAGCATAGATTATATTCTGGATGGCTAAGGCTGGAGAAAAGATGAATTTACATACACAATAAAAAGATGGATGGCATTTTTTAAAGTCAATATTGACACTTTTCTACTTCATTTAAAAAAATAAACCAAACAAAAATAGCCCCCCTTTGCTTCTCTGATTCCACTGCTCCAAGGCATGCCCTGTTTTCTCTTCAGAATAGCTATTATCAGGGTGGGCAAAGTCATCCGGCCAGCAGTGGGCTCCATTTCCCAGCAGCCCCTGTCCACATGACTGGGGCTGGTCTCCATGGAGTCCCCAGCCGCAGCTGTGCTGTGATACCCTAAGGCTGGGGTTGCCACGGAGACCAACCCCAGCCATGCTGGCAGAGCATGCACAGCAGAGCTGAGCAGGGGGCTGCTCCAGAGCCGCTGGGATCTTACGGGCAGGGGCTCCTGGGAAATGGAGTCCAGCTGCCAACCAGATCCGCCATTTTGCCCACCACTGTATTAGATCTTTAAAATGTAGGCAGTTCTAGTAGGCTGATCCTATTCCCATGAAACCAGCAGTTCAGCACAGCTGGTGACTTCCGTAGATGCTGCAGAACTTTTTTTTTCCAGAGACTGTAGTGATTTTTCATAATGAAAGAAGTCACCATCATTTAAATCTCAGGAAGTCAAAATCAGGAGTGACATGAAAAGAGGAAAAATAAAAATAGGAATGTGATGTTTAAAAGCCTGATGCAAGAGTTAGAAAAAGCGCACATGTCACTTATTTTAGAAGGAAAAAGAAAACATAACTTGACACTTTGCAGCATCAGATCCTTTGGAAGTGGCAACGTAACTGATCAGAAAAACCACATTCACTCCACCTCAATTTTTTTTCTGGCTCCCATAAGAGAATAGGTTTCTGTACCATATAATGCTTCATTTGTTCTTTAAAAATACATTTAGATTAAAGGCACTGTGTTTTGAAGAAACCTTTCTAGAACAAAGAAGCAGAAAACTAAGCACTATTTCTGATACTGATAGCAGCTTGATACAACTGCAACTTTACTAAGTACTGGGAAGCTGCTTCATGAGTGAGCCCTGTGCCACATGAAACCCCACTAAAGCCCATCACAACAGCTTGAAAGACAAAGTCCTAAAAATAATAATAAGCCTAAAATGGTCTAAAAATCTACTACTTTAACCAGTGTAAGAGCTAGTATATTGAGGAAAAGATATATTGCTAGTTTCATAGACCCACCTTGAGACCACAGTTAAAATTTAAATTTAACCATGCAACAGGCAGAAAGTCTCACATCTTCCTGTAGGGTGCTTGTACATTGGAAGCTACATACAATATTTTTTCCTGGCTTGGGGTATACCCTGTCTTTAAGTTACATTTCAATTCAGTGAAGCATGCTGCTTTACTAGCGGGGAAATACAGGACATAAATTAAATACTTCCAGTAATAATCTGTTTCATAATGTATATCTGTTTAAGGTACAGCTACCAATGATGATGGCAGACTCGTAACCGTGACTGAATTTTATTCCGCACATTATAAAATTAGATTCACTTGGCTGAACTAAAAACTGTTCTGTTTGCATGTTTTATCCAGGAATTTAATAAGCAAAGTGTACTGTTTTACAGTGTTTTAATATATTTTTGTGTCAAGTTTTGCTCTCTTCTCAAAAGCTAGTAGTAAAGCCCATCTGGTAACAAAATATGGTAAAAATACATATACACACACAAACACAAAAGGACATTAAACTGTTTGTAGCTCATTAAAAGATTCAAAACTGAAGAGAATAATGGCCATTTCCAGAAAATGACAGAGATAAATGTAAGGAGGTTTATAATTTTCTGTAGCCCTGAATGTTGTAAGTGCCTTTTCAGAATTTCCTATTTTGAAAACTACAGATGCTACAGATGGAACATTACTGCTGAATTTTATTTTCCAGAGCTGGGCTGGTTGCAGAACATTAATACTCTTCTCATTCTTTCAATATTAGCTTTAAATATTTTATTTCTTAGCCTTAATACAATTTTTCCAGTTATAGCCCCCTTATAAATACTTTTGAGAATGTTCACATTACAACTTTCTCACCTTATATCACAGGATTTCAGTGAAGTGACTCTTTTGGACCTGGTATTGTTTTTTATTTTAACAGTATAATCAATTGCATCTCAACTGTGAATAATTTGCCTTGGAGATTGTATTCACTGGGATTAGTACTGAGAAGATTTCAGTTTCTGTAGTTCTATATTTGATAAGAAAACTTATGAGTAAGCAAATTTCTTACATCTCTCCAGACTCATGTCTCTACATGACTTATGTGCCTCAGAAAAGTAAGAGGCATATGACACAAGATCCAAATCATGAAAACAAGCAAGCTCACAACCTTAGGTTATGTTATGAATAGAGATCCGGGTTTTCCATGAAAAAACAGAACACCATGAAGTTTACATTTCATGGAGGGAAATGTGGATTTCTACTTTTATT